TATATATATATATATATATATATATAGTGTATTATATTATATTATATCCAGAGAAAACTTGTAGTTTAGTTAATCAATCTTAACAAGAGAGAATAAACTATTATGAAGCATATTATCCAATCTTTACAGTTTCAGCTGAGAAATCCCGGGATTATTACCTGCATCTTCCTTTTGATCATTCTCAGTTGGCATCAAGAACCAAATAAAACGTTCTATCAGTCGTAGATGAGGTTTCTCAGATATTTCTACAAACTAATAAATTGTAGATCTAAAACAAAAATCTTCAAATTAATCATAAGAATATGAATCATAAATATTATCTCTATCTCTTATTATCAGTTAATAAAATTCGGCCAAAAATTTAACTAATTAATTTCAACAATTTCAAATGCATTTTAAATTTGGTTTTATTGAAAAGTTTTTCTGACAAATATCCAAAAATCATTCCTACTTAATTCATTGAAATGAGTAAAAAATTGTCGTTTTTGCCACCATTTTTGAATTATTCTTGCTGATTTTTCTGCATTTTCTGCGCGACTTTTTTCACTTCTTTGATACTTCTGAACTGCTTTCTCACTGATAGCCTACAAGTACAACTAATCTTACTGAATATTTCTTCCATTACTCTACAAAATTTTTAAAAATTTTGCGAAATTAAACTAATTTGTGAAAAAATTTCAAAACTTTTAAAGATAATTACAAGGGTTTCTAATACGTAAATTACTCAGCTTTACGCTTAATTTGTTTAACACATTGTCATATACACCTCAATATCATTGCTTGTTAACATCCAGTCAGCAATTACGTCTGGTTTTTGATTGTGGATCACATGATAATCGTTAATATTCACATAAATCACGCCATATTCAAATTCTTCTGGTAAATAACATTCCGTGTTTGAGTCACTTTTTATCATCTGTGCAAAATTACTGCATTACTTTTCTTTTAAGAAAGAGTATAAGTAGCTTACTAGCATTTTAATTTTGACCTCTTGCAAAAAAATCACTTCTTTCCTTACTGCTAATTTTGTTTTAATATACTTACATTTTTTGTCCTGCGAACTTCGATTTCTTCAACTAAACAAGCGATATATTGAGATATTACTTCAGTTTGAAGCTTAACTTGTGTCCATCTATTGGCTATTAAATTTATTGCTTCTTCTTCCTTACCATTTTGAAGAAGTATATTTAAGCGAACGGCTAAAATACAAAATTGCAATTAAAAAAATATGCAAACACTGAAAAAATTAGCTGCAATTCAGCCTTCAGAGCCTAACTGAATTAAATTCGTTTGAATATTTGAACTCTCAAATAGATGTTTAATAAAGTTATAGTAATTTATTTCCTATATTTCAAATACAAAAAATGCAATAATTGTATTAAAAATTTGAAATTTATAATAATAATTTTACCATTTTGAGCTCTATTCTGGGCAGTTTCAACATCTTTGCTAACTTCATGCAAAATCATTTCTACTTCGTCAGTGCTTGACACAAAATGATTTCTGAAGGCATTCATATAATACAGTATGAATTCATGTTGGAATCCATCAAAGTCTGTGAGTATCACTAACAAACTTTCCCAATCATTTGATCCGCAAACTTTATTTATTTCACTTACTGAAAAATTTTTAAAAAACATAATTGCTAATTTTGAAGTGAGTCAAACTTACACAAAGTAAAATTAAATATGCTTTAGAAGTAAATAAATTCATTGCATTAAATTATTATTATTTATTACAAGATTATTATTATTTACTGCAAAATTATTTATTACAAGATGGCTTGAAATTATATATTTACACAAATCATCCGTTATTTTTGTTTATCGGTTTGTTATTGTAATTTGTTAAGAATATTTATTTAAAAAATATTTAAATAAATATTTTTTAGCTTAATATGTTTATTGTGTATAAATTCAACGCAGCAACTACTTACAATGAAGTGAATATTTTTGTGCCGTAAAATCCACTTTTTTAAAATTAATTAATTAATTATAAAAAATAAATAACTTGAAAGGCATTGAATGATATCGTACCCCGATTGACTTGTTTTACAATTTCACGTAATTTTTCAGGCATCAAAAAGTGATCGCTTTCAATTTTTTCGTATTCTTCACAAATAGCTTTTTTGTAACTTTCAGTCAAATCAGAATTAATATTATTTGCTGATCCAAACGGTTCACTTTTCAAGGCATCATAAATACCATGCGCATTGTTTTCCATTGCATAGAATCGTACACGCATACAAATATTTATCACTAAATTAAAAAAATACATTTAAAAATAAAAATTTACAAAATAAAAAAAGTTAACACTTATTTCAAAAAAGTTGCTAATAAAATTAAAAAATTAAGTAACCTTTCAAAGCATTTTCAACTTGTTGTAAAGTAAGCGCTTCATTTTGGTTACGTCTAATACTGCATAATTCTTGAGCGTAAAGAGGACTGGCATTACGTACGATGTCTTCTTGCTGGAGTTCATCCAAAATTACGTTTATTTCAGATACGTCTGGAACTTTTCCATCATGCAATAAGTTTTCTAATTGTTTGAGCGCTTCTGCCGCTGAAAATTTGAAAATTTTTACAGTTAAATTTGAAAATTCGCTAATGAAATGATTTCTTTTTGTGAAAAAAACTAGATCTTTATGCAAAATCCGTGTTTTGAAACACAAAATGTGAATTAATTATTTATTCAAAACATTTGGAAAATTTATGCTTGGGTCATTTATCATAACAAATTAGAATTAGAATAAATTATACCATTAATTTCAACAATTATTGCCTGAATTTGCTGTCGATTCAAAAATTCATCCTTATTTAAAACTTTTATGTGAGTTTTAAGAGCATTTTGATATTTATCAATGAGTGTATCGTTCACGTACAGAATGCCAATATCCGATGACTTTAGATTCATTAATAAAGTATGCTGAAAGTGTTTGAAGCTTATGAAAAGTTGAAACAACATGACTTCAAAATTATTAATTGTCTGGTAAATCTTAATAGCAATTAAAGTATAAGCTTTCAGTCCTAACTTTCTATTTGTCTTAGCTGGTTTATCCAAAGAATCAGTTGGTAAGCTTAAATGAGACAATTTCAGGTAGATGCTATCTTTATTACTGCTACAACCTATCAGAAATTTAAACAATAATTATGACTTCGACTGAAGAAAAATCATATCTGATTAGGGCAACTTGATTTGATTACATGATTCAATGCAGTATTATTCATGTAATAATGTTACTACGATTTTTACATTTTGATGCCTCTCAGAAGAATTAGTTAGAAGTTTCACGATGTCACTGATATGGTTTTTTCATGTGATTATTGATTACGTGCTTTCTAAACGTTTTTACGACAAATTTTAAACAATTCTTGTTCTATGCTATCATTATTTTTTGATAATAATGAAAAAATATCTAATAATGTGAAAATAGAATTATTTACCTTATCATCGATGCTATTGTTTAGTTCCATCACCGCCTTAATATGGGCATTCAAATCCTCTGGAGTAGTTGCAAGTATCGCATCAATATTGCCGAACAAGGATAAGTCATTGTCTTTTAATCGTTCACGTACGTCATTAAGTATTTTTGCTGAAAAACAGTACAAAAATTATTGGAGAAGGAAAATTTCATTCAAAAAAGCCTTTTCTCTCAATGCACTAATATTTAGAAGTATATGCAAAAGAAACAACTTTCAAACTAAATAAGGTCAAACTAAATCTGCTAGTTATCTGACCTAACTACTGGCAGTATTCACTTACTATCATATTTGATATGAAAAACATAAGTCATTTTTTCAAATTTCTTTCTGCAGATCTTGCACATCTAGCATCTCAGAGATACTGAGGTGAATAAAAATAATTTAAACTAATATTTCTGGAAAAGTCAGTATTAGACAGAACCTTTTATTTTTATTATGGCTTATTAAGTTATTAGAACTTTCATGTCACGTAAAAATATTCTAAGGTTTATTGATTTTTCATTAATTATTATATTTTATGAAGAAATACTACAATGCAATGGAAAAAAACGTGGCCCATGACGCATCCGATGCAAATAAAAAAATATATCTTGTGGCGTAAAAATTTAAATATTATTATAAAAATAAGAAATAAAATTGACTGCTCAAAAATAGGATTAGCTTAGATGTTGGGATTATTTTTGCTACAAATATCCTTTTATATTGGTTGATAAATGAGCAAAAAATAAAGTTTATTAGATGTAATAAAACAATTAAGAAGTCAAGGCATTATTTAGATAAAAAGAGTTAATTTTATATTTAACTAAGCTTTCATTTCTGAGACTTACGTGAAAATTGAAGGTTATTTTCACGCTGAATACGTGGCCCACGACGCATCCGATGCAAATGTTTGCCAAGCGCATGCAAAGTGAATATTGTTTTAACATTACGACCTTCATAAATATCTACTGTATCAGGGATTAAAATCTGAAATTATATTTGAAGTAGCAATGTTGCGATTTTTTAATTTAAAAGCAAAAATTTACTTCAGTATTATTAAGCCTAATTTATATTTGGACGGATGAATGAACTGCAGGATTTTTCATGATAAAACAAAAATAAAACTAAAACATGTTTACTGTGCGAATAATATAACCCAAAATATTAATTAGTCTGACAGGTCAAACTTTGGTCTTAACCTCTGGAAAATGAATGCTTCTAACAGCATCTTTCCATAAGCTGATATTATCTGTATGTCGATAGCAAGGTTGACCTTCCTTGTAAAAGCGTGTCTGAAAATTATTACAAATTACAAAACTTTAAGTGAAATAAGTTTTAATTTTCCCAATATTTACAACTGTCTGCAGCAATTTTATTTTCAAAGTTCAGCCCTATAATTTTGTGCTTTATTTACGTGAAAAGACAGTTACAAACTTCGGAAAAAATCAAAATAAAACTTTTTGATAAAAGAAATTTTTAATTGAAAAATAATACTACTACAAGTAATCACAGTAATTATTTCTGACTATTAATCATTTAATGATAAAAGCTAGTTAAGACACTTAGCTCTAATTCTCAATCATTTCATTGAAAATTAGATTAGCAACTCAAAAATTTATATTCAGATTAATTTGATGATATAGTGATATAGTCAAAATTATGAATAATTAGAAATCCTTTATGGAATGAATTTTTATTAACTTGTGATAAAGTAGTTTGAATATATATCCATACAAATACTTATCGCTTATTTGTCATTCAAAAACATACTTGTTCAAAATCAAAAATTTTTGCTAATGGAACAATATCAGGCGCAAATGAATGAGCAAGTCTGGCTAACAACACGCCATTTGATAAATTTTGCTCAAGTTCAGTTTCTCGAGCTACGTCCTCTGAGTTCAAGCATTCCATCAGCCAACTACAATTAGTTTCCTTCTTACTTATTTTGTCTGTATAAAATTCATTTCAGTTTTACAGAAAAATTATTATATTATCAAATATTTCTATTAATTACAGACAGGCTGTGAAATATTATTCGAGGTTTCTTACTAAGTCAAAATTTAAACCGTACTGCTATAATCGTTTTATTTTAATTTAAATAGTACTGAAAAAAAAACTAAAAATTCAATGTACTTCCTGAAATCTTTTTTCGGATCAAAGTTAACGGCTGTGTAGTCTTGAAAACATTTTTTGGATAGATT